ATATAATATATATATCTTTATATACATTTACATATATATGACAAAAGACATACCAACATCCATAAACGGTGCTCCCGTCAGCCACAAAAGCTCAGTATCATGAGGTACTCTAGCCCATTGTGGCGAATAAAGTGATTCTATCGAAGTATTTAAGACATAGAGATATGTCGGTACGTGTCTTTCTACCAATAATTTTGCTATTTTGTCGTATGGTGCAACATAATGAAAGTCTGATAAGAGCTAAAAATATTAATATAATAATTAAAATCAATAATTTTACATACAATTTAGTTCGATATTTTTACATTACTTACATTTATATATTGATCACGTACGTGCGTAACGTTCATTGGATCTGGCCAATATGTATACATATATTTTATTGCCTCGTAAATGCCTTGTGGATTTAGGGTATAGTTATATCGAAGAACTAATTCCCAAATCCTTTGATCGAATATCTCAGGAGTTATTGTGTATTGATTTTTTGCTAATGTAGCATTATTTTCTGTAAAATAAATATTATGGAAAATAATTTAAGTTATATGCAATTGAATAATATAAACTTATTGTTAGTAATAGCAGTAAAATATTCGAAGTAAAAATATAGCTTTCCTTTTAAAAGATAGTCGACATAAGCATCCTTTCTTAGCATAAATAACAAACTTGATTGTGTTTCTTAAAAGGAAAACAGTCTAACAGTTAAATAAAAATAAATAAGACAATAAATGACATACTTATAATAAATGCTGCTTCTTGAGTTGTGACACCAGCCATGTAAGCCAAATCTTTGCTATATTTGTGAGCTTTAATACTTTCTTCTGGCGTTTCTGTAAAAAAGCGCCAATCGGATGCTCTCCAATCTTCGTACCAATCATCTCGAGGTATCGTAAAATTGACATCGAGCACGGGTGCCCAAGGAAACATTCCGACATGTGGTTTTAATTCAGAATTACTTAACTCAAGGAAACTACGTCCATCTTTTAAGCATTGTACTAATTTCCAACTACTCTCTATGCTACAACCGAGCATTTCTGCATATACTCGAGATGTATTTTGTGCTCGGTATTTGTCTACTATCACCGCCCAATCAGCTAGAGCTGAACCCGATTGCGCTATTACTTTTGATACCATCTGTCGAGTTCTACAATAAGATAAAATAAGTTTAATGCACAAATGATTTATAAAATATATATAATTAAATGTCAAATTCAATTACTTTGGTGCAACCATTAACAATCCCGCACTCGCTGCTCCAGCACCTGGCCCAAATAGTGTTATAGAGTCAGGATCTCCGTTAAAGCTAACTATATTGTCATAGACCCATCTCAACGCCATAGCTTGATCAAGAATTCCATAGTTTCCAGGGCTATTCTCATCTCCAGTACTTAGAAATCCTAGCAATGGGAAAGATTAACATTTTACTAATATATAACACTTTATTTTTTTTCATATGTATACTTTATGTATAAAAAGTAGTGTATTTACCAAGAGCTCCAAGGCGATAATTAATTGATACCACTACGACATTGTAGAAGGCAGCTAGTATATGAGCTGGAAACAAATTACTCGCTCCATGACTAAATTCGCCACCATGTATGTAAAACATCACTGGATATCTATTTGCTAACCCATAGCCAATCTATATATAAGACATAATTTTATTACTTAATAGACTCATTAATTTTATTTTCTTTGAATACGGCATACTTACAGAAGGTGTAAATATGTTAAGATACAAGCAATCTTCATCAACGTCTCGTACACCTTTTGTTGCACCAGTATATTCGCTAGGTTGAGGACAAGCTGGTCCCCAATCAATGGCTTGTAAAAGTTGCCACCCTCTAAATAGAAAAATCAATTATTTGTTGTAAAAGACAATATTATAAAGTATTAAAAATAGTAAAAAAATATTTTGTAAAAAATTTTATATTAACCTAGGAGGTCTGGGGGGTTTGAAACGACCTTCTTTAGTAGGTGGCATAGCATAAGGAATACCCAAAAATACATTAACATCTTTTGTAACTCTTTCGACTGCTACATTCCAAGGTCTGTGCCTCGCAAATGGATCGTCATATAATTGGACTTTAAATCCTTGAATTTGACCATAATTTGTATTTACAAGTATGTCTCTGGTTTTTATAAAAAGTTTAGAATCTGGTCTTTCTTTTCCTTGAAGATCTTCGCGCCAACCAGCTAGTATTCCTGGCAACGGAAGCCTTTCTGTGGTCTGTTTTAATACACAATATGTAATGTTTATTAAATCTATTTTCAAATTCAAATCTTATATATATTTTAGAATAGCTAATAATTTTTTTTAAAGAGTTTACTATATTTATTTTAAAAAATTCTTAATTGCATTTTTAATTTTTTAATTGTGCAGTTAAATCTAAAATTTGAAATACAAAGTACAAATAAATAACAAATCTTAATTAATAATACAATAATTGATAAATATAAAGAATATTTAATATTTTAGTTAACAATCCGTATAATTTAAAAGCAATAAAAAAAAATAAAAATAACATTAGTCAACAAATAATTTCTAGAAAATCATTTTTATGATTTAAATTAATATTTATAATAAAATATTAAAAAAAAACATGTAATAACTTCAATCAAGTGTCTTGAAAATTTATATAAATTGTGATTAATTATTACAGTATAAATTAAATATATTAATCTGGAGCAAAACGTAAACAAAATGTATCATTTAAATGTCTTAAACAATACAAAAATACAATTTCACCAATAGGAATTTTCTCACTTACGCCGTAAATAAATCGATCTTCAGGTGCTCTCGTGGGTCCTCTGTAACCAGGCTCCAGGTAGCTAGGTTGATATCCATACCCATACCGTCTACCATTATAGACGAAGGTCTTGTCTTGCGGCACGTATACGCCGTCGCGATTGTAGTAGCGGCTGCCAGGCGATATATCCTGTAAAATCATTAGATTTATAAAGTATCCCAAACGCCTCTATTTTAAAATTTACGTATTCATACATCCTTTATTTGGAAAAATGAAGCCGTCAAGTACGTAAATAAATGTTTTTTAATTATAATTAGTTTATTTATGAATGTGCGCCATATTAATATACGCAACATTACAGAAATCAATTGCATTATTTTATAAATCTAATGATTTTACCTGAGCGAGCGTGACGACGCCCGTGATCAGCAGGTATAGGCAACAGCGGACGACGCCGTACGCGCGTCCTCCACGCGCGTTGGCCATGTTCCGCGCGTGCGAGACACACGCGAAGTTGTTCACACACCGCGCAGGTGTGGCCTGAATGGACCTGAAAGTCGCGCGCGTACGTCACGTCACGTCCGAACGGCACGCCGATTCGCTCTCCTCGCCAACTTCGCGGCAAACGAGGAACAAACGAAAGCGAAAGTTTCTCCTTTTCACACTGAACTTATTTGCTTATCAATGAACAAAGTGTAGATCGATAAACGTCGTTACACCTGACTACACCGATTACCGATGATTTGGGACGCGTCGATGGATCCCCACTGAAGTTAGGTGTGTGTCAATACACGTAGCGTTGTTATTCGTATCACGGACGAGAATTCTCGCGAGAGCGAAGCAGTGAAGCACTCCCGTCTCAGGTCTCGGCGCGTCGTCTCGTCGTTGCGAAACGTTCCTTCGTTCGCCTTCTTCTTCTAAAGCGTTCCTGCACCAAGTACCAACCAGCTGAACTAGCCAACACCCTATCAGAGGCCCCCCTGTCACGCTCGCGTCGCGGTGACTCGCGTGGCACTTCAGGTGGCTTCGCTACGTTCGCCGTACGCGCCTTCGTGGACCGTGTTGCGGCCCTTCTCCCCGTTCATCGTCTCTTCCACCAGTCGATAAATGCGAAATGTCACGATTGGTGCCAGGGGAAGCCCAAAGGTGGGGGTGGGATTGATAAACGCAGTTTGAAAGCGAAAGGCAACGTGCCGTGTACTCGTATACTAGATAACTGGAAATTAAAACACGATATCGCTTCGTCATCAAGATTTTCCGTTATTGAAGTTACGTCGGTTTCCTGATAGTGGATTTAGTGTTACACAAGTAGTAAATACAAGTATAATATGTAAGCGTTTAGTAATAAACACGTTTGATAAATGTAGCGATATATACTTTTTTGATTGAAAAATAAAATTTTTCGTTCTCTCATAACTTTATTGAATATTATCTTATTTTACAGTTTTTGGTATTTGATAATATAACAATATCTAAGATTGTGGTACTCTCTTCTTTTCCTAAATTTCAAATAAAAATTAAAGTGGCATATAAGTTAATTGTGAAATCTACGGTTTTATTACTTTTGTTTTCCTTCTCTTAAGTCTCTTTTCTTATCTATTGCAGCTTAAAAATTATTATTTAAATAAAGTCGTCCGGTCCCCAACAGAAAACGTTGCCACAGGCGAGCATTGTCAGAGATTAAAAAAAAACCGTCTCGTGTTTTTATCACGTTAATACGTTGATTGCCATTATACAATTAAGTATAATTTTCTCCTCGACGTTAATTTTATATTAGCATGTTATTTTAGTATGTCACTTATATTTTCTAATGATAGTAGATTAACTTTAAGTTTGGTTTAATTTACTTCTTATTTTATTTTAATTTTTATAAACCGGTATTCATAATCAGTTTTTATTTTAAAATCATTTTAAGTAATATATCTTAAGATATTATAAATATAGCTCTCCGATTAGTTCATGACATTTTAAGACTATATTTGAGATAATCTTAAATATAAGAATCGATTATAAATACCAGTCTTAGAATACGAAAAAAATAAAAAGTAAATCAAGATCAAATTAAACTTACATTGTAAAACAGAGTATTAATTATATTTTCTTCATCACAATAAAATTAGATTTTTCTCTTTAAAAAATCAAATTAATAAATATAACTGACGTTCAAATCGCCAGATATATGTTACAATTTACATTTACGAGTCGTATTAATAAATTACATACGTGAGACGAAAATTTACTGCGTGCAACATTTAACATTAGAAGTATAAGAATATGCAGACACGCGTAATTGAAGACGTAATTTTACACAAAACGAGACTTACGGATAATGCACTTTTTTTCTTGAATGAACGGAGATCGTAGATTCCAGAAGCAGATCTGGTCCTCACTACGGAGATCAAATGCGTCAATACTTTGATTGACTCATTCGCGACTCACACTTTTTCATTATCTCGTCGAGAGAGACCGAGATTAGAATCGCCTGCGCGAATACCACGCGCTTGAAGCCGAAGATTCAACATGAAAAATGTAATGCAAGAGCCGTTGAGTGCTAACTCGTGAACACTGTAGTTCGTCGACTGCGACAGATAGACGAAGAGTAATGGCCAGACTTCAGTGAGCTATAATAACGCCGTCGCGTGCACATACGTCGCGGCGATGGGTCAGCAATGGGTCGCCCACGCGCCCAACAGCCAGGTTGCGAAATGCACGATCGAGCGGATGTGCATGATCGCGGAAGAACAGGGGTATGGACGAAGGGACAGAGTGGATATAGCGATTACTTATTGGGCCAAATTGCTTTTTTTGAAGCGTTTATACGCAGATCCTTTAAAATGATTTACAATTAATTTAAAAAATTAATAATAATAATGCCATAATTAAAAAAGAAAGAGAAGGGAAGAAGCTTGAGAATTACTTATTATTATATTTCTACATTACGTTAAATTATATTTTTTATTTAATAATGTTTTTGTATTATATATATTATTGTATAATATATTATATTAATATGATTTTTAATGATATATTATCTTTATAATAATTGATAATTATTACTTAAATAAATTAAACTTTTTATAAAATAAAAATACGATTTTTCTTACAATTTTATGTATTATTTTCTTAAATTACTATTATTATTTTCTTAATTTTACGTATTATTTTCGTAAATCAGGTTAAATAGTACCTATAACTATATTGATAAATGTACACTTATGCCCATTTTTAGCAATTTTAAAGATTAGAAAAAGACGAAGAGTAGAGACGAAGTTGAACCGAGATTAAAGTTAATCTACATTGGTGGAAACGGGCATTAGAGTTTCAAGATATTTTATTCGTTTCATACAAGTTATACATTTCTTCTCTCTCTCT